AAAGAGTGGGCCACGTTCCTCCTGTTTCCCCTCCTTACCTGTGGTGGACATCGCCATCTGTCACTGCAGTTTTCCCTTCGGTGCTGGACTCATTTTAGAATCTTTCTCAATATAGATTTATGTGGGCTGTGGCCTGGTGATTAAGGGAGCCAGATCCCACATGGCTGGGTGTGGTTCGAATCCTCACACCGATGGCTTGAAAAACATGCTGGGCACATGTGTGTGCATGCTCCAAAACCCAACAGGTGGAGAGATGAAGGAGAAGGTGTTGCAGTGTGATCATACCCCACTGGGAATGATTACCTCCTTCTTCCCTCCCAGCAAGTGCTCCCGTCCTCTGGCAATTAAAAAATACACACACACGTGCACACAGCTATTACCAGCCCCAACCTGAATTCCCAAGGAGTTCTAGTAGTTCACTAGAGAGCTGTCCATTCTGATGTGGGGGATGATCAACTGTTACTTTAATAAAAATGTATTTACTTTAAAATATCATTTGGGCCAGCTCTCTGGTGCAGCAGTAACACACTATCTTCCTTGCTCAAGAGAAGCTCAATCTTACATGGTACCTTAGTTCGAATCCCTGACACAGTCATTCTGAAAAACATGCTGGCATATGTGCGAGTGTCCGAGATCTAACAGGCTGGAGCCCTGGAGGAAGGGGATCGGAGTGTGACCAGACCCTTCAGAGGATACTTTTGTCTGTCTGCCTCGTCCTCTCTCTCTCTCTCTCTCTCTCTCTCTCTAGTGTGCACAGACATGCTTTATCATGAATTAAGAAAAATTATTATTTGGTACTGGCAGGTGGCATGTTGTTTAAGGGTGCTGGACTCCCACATGGCCAACCATGGTTCGAGCCTCAAACCTGGCGGCTTTCTCTTTCTCTCTCCCTCTCTCTTTCTCTGTCCCTCTCTGGTCAAATTAAAAAAAAAAAAAAAAAAAAAAAAAAAAAGATGAGAAAATAAATAAAGTTTAAAATTTTTTAAAATCAGTTTAGGTCAGGTCTGTGTGAAAGAATATTCAGTCTATGTAACTTTCACCCATCTGTGAAATCTTTCTCACCAGTGGGCTATTGTGATTGTCATAGGAAGACAGTCTCATTCTGAAGAGTGCTTATAACTGTATTATTTGTGACAGGTGGCACATATCTGTCTCCTTATGATGTTGCTTTTTGTTTCTCTTTGCCTTGAGAATATAGAGCAGTCAGGGTTACTCCTCAGTAATTCAGGGACTGGTCTGATACAAGCCGGATTGTTCCTGCCCCTTTTTTCTGTTGCCTTCACTCTGGATGCTTCCTCTTCATCTATTCATAAGCCTGCACTGAAAAACGACAGCTCTTCTCTAATTCTGTTACGTTAGACTATATTACATTGGTCTAAAATAAAAATTATGTGTTGAGAATAAATCCCCAACTTCACAGTTTTCCGCTGCTGGAAACCGTTTGTGCAGCAGAGATAACATTTGACGGGTGCGTACCAGTTCTAGGAGTAATAAGCGCATCAGTCTCCCCATTTGTCTGCCCCAATGGACTTTCGTGTATATTCATGCTCTTCTCTAAACTGACTCCTGTCCTAGTGGTGTTTCATTTGTGAGTCGTAGAGTTTCCCCACTGAGCACCTGGGTGGGTGACCAGTCCTCAGTTTGCATGTCAGTCTATTTAATAATACATCTGGGGCATATTCATATGGAAAACACTAAGTCTTCTGGATTCAATTAGCTTTTTTATTAGTTTTCCCATTTTAAAATAAAAAAACAGATCTTTATAGAAAAACTATGAAACATATAAGAACATACAAAGCATACCAAGAAATAACCACTCTTGACCTCTTTCAGACCGTTTTCTAAACCTATGCTCAGTTTCAGCAGCAGTGTGTAAATATGTGTACTAATGTACATAAGAACTGTGAAACTAGCAAGCAAATATATAGACGTCCTTTTTGCTGCCTGCCATTGTGACCCAGAAAATTTTATGAAACCTATAAAGGTTCCCGTTTTAATGACATCTGTGGGGCGTAAACTTCTCTTTCTCCATCTCTTCTGAACCTCCACCTCCTGGTGATTATCATCTTTGGTGCATTCTCTATCTAAGGTCTTCCGGGAATAGCTCCTTCTTCCTCACTTGGCAATAAATGGAAGGAAGAGTCACAGTCTTAGGGGTGTTTCTAAACTATTTTCTGCTAACCTATAGGTGAAAAAAATTTTTTTTTCCTCCTTTCTTTTAGCTACAAGCGATATATTCCAGAAACGTTGAATAAGTCCATCAGACAGAGGAACCTTCTCACCAGAATGCGTATCAATAATGTTTTCAAGGATTTCCTAAAGGAATTTAACAACAAGACCATCTGTGACAGCAGTGTGTCCACACATGACCTGAAGGTGAAATACCTGGCTACCTTGGAAACCTTGACAAAACATTATGGTGCTGAAATATTTGAGACGTCCATGCTACTGATTTCATCAGAAAATGAGATGAATTGGTTTCATTCAAATGACAGTGGCAACATCCTCTACTACGAAGTGATGGTGACTGGAAATCTTGGGATCCAGTGGAGGCAGAAACCCAATGTAAGTGGCTTTCGATAGCTCGTCAGAGAGAATGGTCTGCCACACAGCGTCTGCTGTCTGCCCTCACATTTGCCTGCTGACAGGCCCCTCGCCCCTGCACGCTGAGACCGTAGGCCAGAGACCATGCTATCATTTCCCTTTCATCTCACTCACACAGCGAAAGGTCTAACTAAGTTTTTTTTTTATTATTTATTTAATGTTATCATCATTTTTTAAAAAGTTTGCTACAGGACATGTGTGTTCACCAGAGAGAGAAAGAAACAGAGAGAAAGAGAGGAAAGTGAGAAAGCAAGCCACCAGGTTGGGGATTCAAACTGAAGTCAGCCGTGTGGGAGTCCAGCACCTTAACCATCACACCACCCGCTGGACCTAAAACTAAGTATTCAGTTCTGTAGAAAACAGTGACATACAATAGTAGCATGTACATTTATGCAGTAACGTAAGAATAGCAGACTTGTACTGTGTGCTCACCATGAGCCAAGTGCTTTCCTAGGCATTTGTACATGTAGTAATGAATTTGTTTCCAAACAAAGAACCTTTAAGGGAAGTACTCTATTATCTCCATGAAAGATAAGCACAGGGAGAGACAGAGGAGTTCAGATCATCACTAATAAATGATTGCCCCAAGATTTGAACTCGGGCTTCTGGCTTCATGATGAGATAGGCTCATAGACTTTGCATTGTGAAGTTTCTTTATGAGATGTTTGTTGGATGAGGCAATAAAGCAGAATGGTTGACGAGGATGGGCTTTACAGTATGGATCGCATTCAGATTTTAGCTTCACTACTTTTCATTTATGTCGGCTGCATATTATTCATGTGTAAAAGGGAAGTACTTACTATAGGAAGGTCATAGGGTTGTTGAAAGAATGAACTGGTATTTAGCACAGAACCTGACGTATGATAAACGTTCAGTTAGTTATAATAGTTGCTCTAATATTATAATTATAAGTAATATTTAAGTAAATGTGACACTTACTTTCTTTGCCTGTTTTATTCTAATACAAAAATCACAATGTCTACTGCTTACCAAGGACTTCCTGTATGGTAGCTACTGTGCTATTAAATGTTTATCTCTCAGAAGGTTCTCAGAGAACCTTGTGAAGATGTAAGTTCTCTGTTTTGTGGATGAGGAAATGGAGATTCAAAGAGATGATCTAACTAGATAAGTACCTGGAAGAGGCAAGAACTTAGCCCAGATCGCTAGTGTCCAAGGCCCGTGCTACTTAAAGTATTTACACTGGTGCAGATGTATTCTCTTCAATGTATAGATTATTAAGGCTGCGCAGGTATCTTTAACTCAACATGTAGATTATCTGCGCATAGAATTCGTATTTTCCCTTGAAAGCAGAACATGAGTACTGTTATCATCCAGATGATTGGTCATAGAAGGAGAAAGCTCCTTTCTCTGCAGCCCGATTTGGGAAGAGCACGTTCTCTGCCTGTGTTGAAGTACGTGTATCAGTCTGAAGGTGAGGGGACCTGATCACAGTGTGGGTCTAGTGGGCAGTTACTTCCCTTTCTCAGTTTCCATGCACGTGGAATGATAAGAGTTCAGTCATTGTACTCATTAAGGTCTCTTCCATATATGCTGTCCCATGATTCCTTGGGAGGATCCAAGCCTTTGACCCTAAGCCACAAGTGTCATCTCTTCTCATTCCTCTGTAAGTCCCGGTGTGCCGGCTTTTCCCTCCTTGGGACTAGAACCTGCGTGTGTTTCCAGAAGCATTGACTTTTCCCAACAGGAAATGAGAAAGCTAACATAACCCTGTCATTTTATCAGGTTGTTCCTGCTGAAAAAAAATAAACTGAAGCGGAAAAAACTGGAAAATAAACACAAAAAGGATGAGGAGAAAATAAAAATCTGGGAAGAATGGAACAATTTTTCTTACTTCCCTGAAATCACTCACATTGTAATAAAGGAGTCTGTGGTTAGCATTAACAAACAGGACAACAAAAAAATGGTAAGTTTGCTCTGGAAGCTCTAAGTCCGGAACTGGTGATAAGAGTGGTGTCTTGCAGAGGATAGTTACATAGCACGTGATTTTCATGGTTCCTGTTCCAAAGAGAAAATCTTATTTAAGCCAGAAAGTCCCTCTTGTGGAGAGATTACTCTTGTCGGTTTTGAAGTTATGTCAGTATATTTCATTGCCTTTCTTAGGTCTTACAGATGCGAATCTGCCTTAGGGTTTGCACCTTCCCAAAAATTTTTTTAGCAGCAGTATTTAATTCCTGAAAGTTAGTGGATTTGAAGGGAAACAAATCAATGAATGTCGGTTTTCCTCCCAGCGGCTCACAAAAGTCTTGCACTGCTTGGGGGAGCCTGTGACCTGAGATAGATGGAGCCCCACTTTGCACGTGAGCACCATGAGGCAGAGTGTCAGGCCACAGTAGAGTCCTCCTCATGGTATCGGCACACTCAGGTGACACATGAACAGAGAAAGGGATTTTCAGTGCCACTTCCTCTTTGTTGGTATCACTCGAGGACACACAGACAAGCAGGCCAGTTTGGCAGGGGAAGTGGAAGTTCTGCCAAAATCAACATGTTTGTGTCAGAGGAAGTCACGGCGGACAGCACGTGGAGGGAATGGGCTGCTGAGACAGGGCCCTCTCACGAGCAGGGGTGGCCACGCCAGGGAAGCACCCTGCTTTGTTTATAACTCAGCACTATCTCTGTCAGCATGGTGACACTCCTCGCTGAGAACGCGTCTGATGTAGTTAAGGGAAGATGGCTGCTCTCGCACGTACAGAGTTACCTGTTTGTTTGGCATAACTGTTTGGAAAGCAGTTTGGCAACATGTGTTAAAGACTTGAAAGTATTTATATATCTCTCCAGGAGTCTCGGGACTCTGTCTTTCAGAAAAATTGTGAGATATAGGCAGTAGTTTATGAATAAGGATGTTCATAGTCCAGCCGAGTACCACAGAGGTAGTGTGATGCTCTGTGATGGTGAAGGCACGTGGAAAGGTCGTGAGTTCTCCTCCCAAGATCATTTCTTGAGATCTCCCTGAACAGGCTAGCATGTACACACACCCAAGATCCTGGCTGGCTCAGGATGGATTGCAGCATGAAAACCCTATTGGGGTACCTGTCTCTCTCTCTCATGGAAGAAGCAAATAAATAAACCTTAAAAAGATGTTCATTCCAGTGTTATTTACAGCGTCAAAATACTGAAAGCAACCCAGATATACAATAAATAGGAGAATGGAAATATAAATCACAATTCACCTTATAGTGAAGAATCTTTTCATCAGATTGCTGATTTTTTTGTTTGTTTGTTTTTGGAGAGGTTTTTGCTATAGGGTGCGTGCGCTCACCAGACAGACAGAGAGAGACAGAGACACAGAAAGCGAGAAATCACTCCTCAGGGCGTATGGCCATGCCACAATCCCTTCTCCTCCATTCTCCTCTCGGGATCTTGGGCACACACGCACATGCACCTGGCGTGAGTTTAAGTCACTGGGTCCAGGGCTCAAACCGTGATCGACTACATGGGAGTCCAGCAACATAGCCATTATGCTAACTGCTGGCCCCTTCTACTTCTATCTTCACCTTGTTTTAAATACATTTCATTGATTAAATTAACGGTATATACTTTGTTTACAAAAGACAAAGTTTAAAACCATTCATAATCTCACCATAAATAAACATTAATTTATAAATTTAAAGGTGTTAATATTGGGTTATTTTTCTTTTCTCTTTATTTATTTATTTCTTCTGAGAGAGAAATAGACAGATAGGCACCCCAATAGTTTTCATGCTGTAATCCACTCCCAGTCTCAGCCAGCCCAGATCCCAGGCACACATGTGCTCACGGAGGTCCCAGGACATGAACCTAGCATGCTTTCCATGTGGATCCAATTAAGTTACCATTGCACCATTGCCTGGCCCTTATTTGGTTATTTTTCTAAAAGAAGGTACATGCACATGCATACTTTTTTGAATTTTTCTGAGCAAAACTGGTACCATTTTATTTTGTACCTTTTTTGACTTACAAAAGCATTTTTCCAGATCATTGAAAAAATTTAGCAATCACGGGACCAGTAGTTAGCGTAATGGCTATGTGGCCGGACTCCTATGTAGTCGACCGTGGTTCGAGTCCTGGACCTGGTGGCTTAAATTCATGCCAGGTGCATGAGTGAGAAAGCAAGTCGCTTGGTCCAGGACTCGAACTGCAGTTAGCCATGTGGGAGTCCAGCGCCTCAACCACCATGCCACCTACTGTCTCCCCCACAATTCTGTTTTAAATGTCTGCTCACTGTGTGCCTCCCCCTCGAGTCGGCCTCTTAAGATGGCAGGTGCATGATATAATCATGGGAATTTCTTCTCCTTCTACAGGAACTGAAGCTCTCTTCCCACGAGGAGGCCTTGTCATTTGTGTCCCTGGTGGACGGCTACTTCCGGCTCACAGCAGATGCCCATCATTTCCTCTGCACCGACGTGGCTCCCCCACTGATCGTTCACAACATACAGAACGGCTGTCATGGTCCAATCTGGTTGGTTCTAGAACCTCTACGTTTGCCCTTGGTGTGAAAAGAGCTCACATTTAGTAATGGGGTGTGACTCTCCAGATCCCCATGTCATCAGTTGTTTAGGCTTGGCCATGCTGACTGGTACTTCCTGGGCACCCTCTCTGCCATTCTGCTGGCCAAGCTTTGGTCAGGCTTTCTTGTTATCTTCTTACTATAGTCCTAGCACCTTCCCCTCAACTCTTCTTCCTGTCTTGGCTTTCTCCTCCTAGTTTGACCCCTTACCACTGCATAACTGACCAAGAAGTGCTGTACTTCCTAACCTCTGAGTGTGTCAAATGCTTTTAAGTGATTCCAGAAAGATAGAACACAAATCTCAGTGTGCGACAATGTAGTAGAAAGAGTCCTGAGTAAGCATGTCCTAAAGTGCAGGATAAATAGCAGGGGGACCAGTGGGGTGATGCAGCCTTCAGGCCAGAAGGAGCTTTGCGGATGTCTTGTTCCGTCTGCATCTCAGAGCTGGAGCCTGTGCCCACTTCCCTGTGGTGATGGCACTACCTGAGGCAGCCTAAGACTATGGCCGTACCAATCCATGTGCCAGGCCTACTCCTCAGTCTGATCTGGAGCTGTAGTTTGCCTCCCCGTAACTGCTCCCTACTCATTTGAGTTCTGCCTTTTGAGACAGCAGGACTTTCATTTCCTCTCTCCTGTACAACTGTCTATCCAGTGAGGGAGAATATCTGCTGGGTTTCCTCCAGACCTCTTTGTCCAGACCAACAGAGATCTGGGGAGGTAGTCCTCCAGCCGCCTTCCACTTAACACACTTCCCACCTTCTTCTTCATCCCAGTTCCCTTGTGGACAGGTGGCTTCCTTCATAAGGGGCAGTCCCTGGCCTGGAGAGGCTCATAGACTCATGACAAGACAGACATGCCAAGCATTGCAGAACAAGAGTTGAGAATGGTAGAAATGTCTTCTTCCAGTTTTTCAAACTGGCGCTGTGCCGCAGGGCTCAGGAACTTGCTTTCCCTTGGCCTGGAATGCCCTTCACCCGGAAACCACACAGTCCCCACTTCCTGCAGGTGTTAGGTAACTGCTACCTTATCTGTAGGTCTTCCCTGACAGATAACAACCCCTCTTCCCTGTCTCCATTCCATACTCCCTGGCTGCTGCATTGCACGTTCTGGTCTTTGGAGCATTTGCTACCTCCTGACACTGTGTTTATTCCGTGTCTGGGTGCCTCTGGTCTGACTGTCCTCACCTCCCAGAGCAGGAGCTTCAAGGCAGGCACTGTCTGCACGACTTCCTACTTTCTCTGCACCCACAGGGCCTGGGCCATCACGGGTGCCCAGTATTTGTTGAACAAGTGAGTGTTGAATGTCCCATGAGAGGCTAAAACTCACTGCCTGAGGAGCCTTCTCAGAGCAGGCAGCACTCAAATTGCTTTACATGTGGAGGAGTCAGCAGTGGTTTGCTAAGTCCTCAAGAGAGAGAAGAGTGTCCTGGGTGAGGGATCAGCATAGGCAGAGCCATTAAAACCATGGAGCAGTGGGAAAGGACTTTGTCTCTATTGTTCTAGACATGTCTGGCCATCTGGGATGGTGGAAAGGAGTGGGTGTGGGATCCCAACCACTGCATCATGGCCAGCTTCTCATCCTCACCCTACCAGGCCTGGGGAGGCCATCTGGCTAGAGCTGGAGATAGCATCTACAGGAAATTAAGAACAGGCAGAGCCCAGGGCCATGGGCAGTGGGCAGAGTCCTCTTCTAGACCTTGGACTCTTGATCTGTCTTGAGGCTCCTCAGCATCTCCACTTGCTTCCCATGTCATATCAGAGAGGGCTTTAGGGACCCGGGCAGATGGTATGATGGGGCACGAGACTTGGGGCAGCCCCGGGAGGCAGCTGGCCCAGGACTTTACCAGGTTCAGTTTGGTGTGAGCTTTTTCTCCCTTTGCCTGCTCCCCCTCTAGCACAGAATACGCCATCAATAAATTACGGCAAGAAGGAAGCGAGGAGGGCATGTACGTGCTGCGATGGAGCTGCACCGACTTTGACAACATCCTCATGACCGTCACTTGCTCGGAGAAGTCTGAGGTCAGTCAGACACTAGCTTAAGCCAAGCCTTATGGCCACTGGATGTCCAGTGTAGCCTGGCCCAGGAGCTGCTGGAGATGACTACCCTTGGGGACTTGGGGGCAAAGGCCTGGGTGTCTATGACTCCTGGGAGATCCGACAAGGGCACCTATTCTCCAAGAGGAGCCCACCTCAAGCAGCCAGGCCCTCATATCCTTCTGTCCTTGGGGCCCTCTCTTTCATCCTTCAAGGCACGGCCTGTGGCACGACCCGCTGTGGCTCCAGAAGGTAGTTCACACCATCTGTTTGTACCATTTAATATAATCATTTAGAGTGACTTACTCTAGACTCAGCACCAAGATCATCACAGACGCAAGAGCCATCTGTCTGCCATGGTCACTGGTACAAACCAGCGCCAAAATGCCACCTCATTAGCACAGCCTAACAAGATTGGCTGCAGACATTTTAACAAGTTGCTGGACCATGTTTTGACCAAGTAGAGATGTCAATTAGTTGTATTAGACATCTATTAAGTATCTATTCTAAGAATTGTTATCTTTATCTCCCAGGACCACAGATGCCTTTGTTATTGATGTAATATTTAAAAAATACCCAGTGGAATATTTTTACAGACGAGTTTTACAGATTTAGTCCACATAAACACACTAGTATTGGTCCAGCACAACACGAACCAAGAAGAATGAGGCAGGAAAGGGGTCTTGGAGAAGGAGGTCAGTGCATTAGCACATTGTGGAGCTCAGACACAGGAAAGAAAAGTCCTGGAGAGCCCTAGGGATGGAAGAGGAGATGGCAGGAGGAACCCAGCATCCCCCAGGGTCCGGGTGCAGTGTCTAGGGGCTGCTGCCTGCCCAGGTCGTCCCTGTGTAGCTAGGCCTCGGCGCTGATACGGCTCAGTGGCTCTGAATGTTCCAGAACTGTTGTCCTCATAGGAAACCTGTCCTCTCTCTTCTTCAGTCTTCAGAGGAAGTTTAATACTTTAAACTAATGCTTGAGATAGCCTAGCAGCCTTCGGAGGCAGAATTGTCCTGTGCTGTGCCAGGAATGTCAGTGATTCAGTAAGGTGGCCACCTGATGTCTGATTGCCTGGGGACCCAGAAGTCATGGATGACTGCCAGTGCTTACTTTACTTGTTTTAGTAGGCTCTGTGCTAAACATTTTGTCTGCACTTTTTTGTTTGTTTGTTTTTAATTTTTAAATTTGCTCCAGGGCTTGTGTGCTTACTGGAGGGAGACAGGATAAAAGCACCCCAAAAGGATGGCCACACTGCAGTCCCTTCCCCATTCTCCTCTTGGGATTTTGGGCATGCACCCACACCACATGCACACATATGTGCACGTGCACCCAGTGTATTTTTCAAGCCACCAGGTCTAGGACTCGAACTGTGCAGTCAGCCACATGGCATCCAGCCGCCCTATCTGCCATGCCACCAGCTGGCCCTTTGCCTGCATGTTCTTGTGTAAGCCATGTAACAGTTCATGAGATAGGTGCTATTAGCCCATTGTATAGATGAAGTATCAGGCATTAAGATTTTAAATATCATATCCTAGTTTATACTGAAATAGGTCTTACTGGCCTTGTAGAAAGAGAGCCTATGAGGAAACACTTCTGCTTATTGTTCCCTTCTGGTACCATAGAGCCCTGAAGCTGGACCAGGCAGCCAAACACCAACTTCCATGGTGGTTCTCCTCAGGGAGATGCATGGTTTGGGAGGGTTCACTTTGAGGGAGTACCTGAATAAATTTTGCTGTCATAAATATTATGTCATGGATGATATTAGCTGACCTTTACAAAGTTCTTACTAAGTTTTTTAATGTGCTATTTCATGTAATCACAGCAAAAATTCTATGAGGTCACTATTTTCATGAACATCACCTTACAGGTCAAAAACCAAGTACAACTTTGGTAGAAGTAATTGCTGTGTGTGCTGTAGTATTAACTCTCTTTTATCAGTGCCTTCTCCTGGGCCCCCTTTGATTGACTGATAGTCTGGGATTTATGGATGCTCTCCGAGAGAGCATGGAGCTTCTGTACTCTCTTTACGTGGCTTTCCCTTCTGATAGCATCTTACACACTCAAGGAACATTCGTCTGACCCTGTTTTCTAAATGGCAGGTCCTTGGTAGCCAGAAGCAGTTTAAGAACTTTCAAATCGAGGTGCAGAAGGGCCGCTACAGCCTGCACGGCTCGGACCGCAGCTTCCCCAGCCTGGGAGACCTCATGAGCCACCTCAAGAAGCAGATCCTGCGCACGGACAACATCAGCTTTGTGCTGAAACGCTGCTGCCAGCCGAAGCCCCGAGGTTCGTCTCCCTGTGCCAGGACCAGGCTGTCTGCCCTCCGCGACGTCCTTTCCCCTCAGTGATACCCCCAGACCCAGACCGAGGAAAAGATGCTGGCTGGCTGGTATCAAGAAATTAGCCCTTTCCCACAGTTTCTGGGTGTTTTCCATTGAGTTTTGCCCTCACCTCAAATCCCATCCTTTAGAGTGTCAGTATTTTCTATGGAAAAGACATATACTTTTCTCAGCAATTTAGGCTTCGGAAACAGCCATGTTCAGGATTAGTAAGCAAAAACTTTTTTTCTTCTTTAAGACAAAATGTCCTGAGAGCATTTCTGTTACTGATGCATCTGAGAAATGTTCCTGGGACATTTTCTCTGGTACAAGGACTGTGTTCAATGCAAAGAATCATAAATGCGTGAAGCCCAGCCCTGCTCTCTGAGGCTTTCCAGCCTAATACAGAAAATGTTCTAACTAAATGGGACCACTATATTTTTCTCACATTCATATATATATGTGAGCAATTCATAAATATGAGGATTTGCATATATATATTTCATATATGTGAGATTTTACATGTATGTAATTGATATATATGTTAAGAATTTACATAGATGAGAATTTTATATATGCACACATATAGGTGCATGCGTATGTGTGTGTGTATATGTCTATGTTTTACCCTGGGATTGAAAAGAAAGCAATAGTCCCCATCCCCGAGTCACGTGCATGGAGGAGGCAGATCTTGAGCTGAGTGTGGGACGATGAGCAGGGGGTTGCCCATTAAACGAGGGCATTTCCAGCAGAGCTGGGAGCATGTACTGAGGAAAGGTGGCGGGCAGAAAGCTGGGCTGTAGGACGGTCTGGAGGGCCAACGTGGAGGTGGAGGTGGAGAGACGGAAAGGTGAGGTGGTGGGGGTTCCATTCTGGGTCACAGGAGGACTTGGATGATTGGTCGAGGAGCTGGGACTTCGTCCTGTAGGCTGTGGGGGGCCATGGGAAGATTAGGAAGTAAAATGGATGAAGGGGCAAGGGGCTCAGCTGCTCCTTTATTTATTTATTTATTTTTTTAGAATTATTTGTTCAGTTTTATTTATCATTATTTAATTTGGCCAGAAAGAGAGCAGGAAAGTGAGAAAGCAAACCCCCAGGTCAGCCATGTGGAGTCCAGCACTTTAACTCCCTCGGTACCCGCTGGCCCCTCAGCTGCTCCTTTAAACCCCATGAACAGTGTCATGGATATCTGCAGAGTGAGTCATTGTCTCTTAGGTTGTGAAGACTGGAAGGACTTAGGTGTCCCCTGGTGAAGTGCTGGATTTTATAGATGAGAAAACTGAGGCCCACAGGAGTGAACTGGGCCTCGCTGTAGGTCAAGGTTGAAGAGTTTGGATGCCAGATCATTTGAGTACTGGTTTTTGATGTTCCCCGACCTCAGGAGACTACCTTTCCTTAGAAGGAGTCCGGCCCCAGAGAAGAGACAGCACTGTTCAGTTAGTGTGGGAAGGAGGTACTCCAAGGAGCCCCTTCGTTTGAGATACTCCTTGTCCTCTTAAGAGATCACGTCTGCCTCTGTGAGTCTTTGGTCAGGTGGGCAGAGGAAGCAGCCCCAGGACGGAAATGGGCCTGGGTTCTCCTTGTTTGAACCACTCTTTAGTGTTTCCCAAGGGGCCTGTCATTAACTTGGTGAAAGAGGAAGAAGTTGGGTTCTTGTTGATCAGATAGGGTTTCCTGCCAGCTGGGGGAATAACTGCAGCCTTTGTTTCTGTGCTCAGAGTTGTCCTGCAAAGGTAAAAACACAGTTGCCACTTGGTGGTGAGACCTCACAACAAGTTAAAACCTTAAGAGTGAGGCTCAGCCATGGCGGAGTGCATACGGGATGCTGCTACTCGGTAGGCGGAAGCCATGTGGGAGGCCTAGGTTCAGTTCCCAGCCCACCTAAAAGCCCAGTGTAGGGGCCTGTGCCTGTGGTGCTAGCTACATAGGAGGATCACAGCACAGCGAGACTGTCTAAAACACCACACACACAGACCCACACACACCCTTAAAGCCTAACAACCCTATTTACCCACACCATCTCTCCTAGCTACTGAAAGTAGGTTTTCTGTCCCTGGGATTACTGGTCTCTGGGTGAGGCTGAGGACATAGAGAATAGCAACCACTGGAATGAGAAGTCTGTGGCAGGTCGAGACCAGGACATGATTTCTTTGAAGAAGGGGAGCCCTGGGAACCAGTAGCTCCCAATCGGTAGAGGCACAGGAATGGAATGGAACCTTTCTATCATAGCTGCTGTTGAGTTGGAAAGTTAGCACTGAGTATGTTCAGTGTCGGGCTCTCCAACTTGCTTAGGAACTCTGGGCGTTGAAGCACAGTGCTAGACAAGTCAGCAGGCAATAAGGTCTGAAGAGTGAGGCCCTCTCTCAGTAGCTCCTGTATTGATGGGCCCTACGGTGCAGTGTATTGCGTATTTCATATTTTTCAACCACACAGTAGCTATTTGTGGTTATTATGGAGTTGAGGAAATTGACGCTTAGATGTTACGTGACTCGCTCACTCAAGGCCATAGTTACTGTTTCTAGTAGGAGTTAGTAACAATAATGGCTACTGTCCTGTGAGTAATACTACAACCTGCCAGGCGTCTTTGAAGGTCTTTCATGTTTTAAGTCACCTACTCCTCAGACCCACCCAGAGTGTGTCGTTTTCCCCATTACACTTACCCGAGATTACTTACGCAGAAGAATGGGGAAGTGACCTAAGACTTCAAGCCCAGCGGTGTTTTCTCATCTTCGTCACACTGTCTTTGCAAAGGTGCAGTTGCGGCCCTCAGCTTAAAAATCTGGGCAAGGGCCAATTCTCACAGCCTTGGAAGGAAGGGATTGTGAGGGCCTGGTGGTGGTGAAAGTGAGAATAAGGCCTGTGTGCAAGGCTTTTTACTTAGATCCTCAAAAGCCCTCTATCTTCCCTCTGCCACCTGTGAATTGGAGAAGTTGTGAAATCGTGAAGATTTGACGTTGGGGCTGGTTGGCCTTCCTAACCACAGGGTTCCAGTAGCCGTGCCCTGCTCTGGGTTTCTTACTAGAAAATGCAACCAAGAAACTTCTCATGGGATTTCTAGCAAGCAAAGTGGAGCAGGGGTCACTCAGAATGGCAGTGACAGCCAAGCAGATCCACCGTCGCTGTCCTCTGTCCAGTGCCACTGCCCACCTGCAATCAGGGTGACTGGTAAGGAGGACACAAGGACCCCCGGGGCCCCAGTCCTCTGCCCCAAATCCCATATGTCCTCCTCTGTGCAGTCCAACATGGTGCTTGGTTTCTGCACGCTGCAGCTCTGGCGCTAAGGACACCTCTGCAGTCCTCTGCCAAAGGCTTGGGACCCTGATGGTACAGCACAGATGGGGAGACAGCTAATGAGACCCTGGGCCCAGTGATGGAGCATTTACTAGACCCCAGGCACCAGGAATGC